CCACGATCCAGGATTAATGACCGCCGCCCCATATTGTAGGATCGAAGGGGATGTGGAGGGGGGGGGGGGAGATGGGTGAGTATAGGGGGGGGGGTCGTCAGAGCAAACACAACAGGTGGCTCGGGGTCACAGGTCGGTCTGGGAGGGTCACGGCTCCGCACCCTAGAGAGATCCCCACACCCATACTCCCTACACCTTAACACAGAAATAACCCCCACCCTCTGTCATCCCGAGGAGCTGTCGGGGTTCCTCAGACCCGACCGTAGCCCGTGGCCAACACACATGGGCCGGAACCACCGACTTGTCTTCTTCGGCAACGAATGTGGATGGGGAGACTGGGTGAAGCTTCAGCACATGTGCAAGACGATGGGTGCGTCCATCTTTTTTTGAGCTGGGCCATTATTGTCGAAAAACGGGAGAGGCTCAAGGTGGGGTGCTTGGAAGGTGGCTAGGGGGGGTTCTCGCAGTGGTGCTTTTTACAGGTAGAAACTGGGGCGCTGCTTTCTTCATAACCGAGAAACGGGAACGGCAAGACGAAGGCCTTGTTCCTTCACGAAAGAGGGGGGGGGGGGGGGCCGCTGGGAGAAGAAAGGATCAACTCCTTAGAAATTAGAGCGAAAGAGGACGATAAGGAATAGAATGAACCGGCAAGGAGTGAAGGTCGTGGTTGACAACCTCACAGCCTATATACTCTTGATTGTTCCAGTTGAAGGTCATTCAATAAATTCACCATTTCTGGTAGCGCCACGCTTTACAACGGACGAATACGAAAATAGACAAAGCACAATGAATGATAGATCGTTACCTACTAGCCCGCACAAATTTACTCTTAAGTTACAACAAATTAAGAAGGCCTGCTGTAGGTTCATTTGGAAGCTCGCAACTACAAGTTGTGATAAGGCATTGCGCCTCAACAAAAAGTGGCCCTCTTCTTTACCGCAGTGCGCTGACACTAGGGGCAGGGGGTTCTATTTTCGGCCACTGCTCTGGAATTGCGGTGGCTTACGCAGAAATTGAATGTTCTATAGTCTCATACGACCTGTTGTTCCTTTACAGGGAAATGATTCACTAGTTCTGACGAAAAATCGAGCATCATGGATGATAGACCCGGTGGCTCTTTCGGAGGACATGTGTTGTGGAGCCATATGTGAATAACTTATAGTGATGTCTCGTTTCCTTGAGAAGGCAACTTGCCTTTGATTCGTAAAAGTGGGAACAACATTGGCCTCCGGTCGGAGGAGGCTAGTATGCGATTATGTTTAAAAAATAAATAATAACTTCAGAAGTCGAACTAGGAACAGGCATCGAACGTTTCGACAGGGGACTTCGTCAAGTGGACATAATGAATTTAAACCAACAGAACTTTAGCACCAGGGGATGCCCTTGTTCTTGTCTAAAACTTCTCATTACATTAATCATTTCCATCCAAAGGCTTACACAAACACACACACACACACACACACACACACACACACACACACACACACACACACTAACACACGCAGGTCTTTCAAATTCACGATCGTCACCGCTCTACGCATATCAAGATCACATCCTGAGGTGCGGCTCCTGAAAAACTCTCGGTCGCCGGCTGACGCTTCCAGAACACCACGGCGAGCGCTAAACCTGAGCTACATTGTAGCTGAAAGAAGCAGGGTCCAAGGAGCGGAAACCCAGAGAACAGCATATGCCAGTGCGAAAGAAAGAGGGAACACTGTACGCGCCGAGCGTATGGAGGAATGAATGAAGCAAGCAGCAGTGTACAGGCGCGGGGCTCAGGGGGACGTGAAGGCGGAAGGCATCGAGTAACGTTATTCTCTGTATAGTAATAGTTTAAAGCTTCAGGCTGGCGGTGGCGGCGGCGGTGTTTTTGCGAAATCGGGTGAGAGCAGGTGGCAGACAGAACGGGCGTTGGAACAAACAAAGGGGGTCGATTTTACAGTTAAGACGCATGGCAAAGCAATTTTACCGTAATCTCGACTTTACACTTTGGTAAAACAAGGGTAAAGACAGGGACTGAAATTTTGTCGAGTGCTAACGTGGCGACAACCTTCCTCCACACGCGCATAGAGCGCGAGAAAGAAAACAACCGTGAAAATCCTTCCCTCTTGGAATTCTTGATCTTCTTGTTGTGTTGCGCTATCGAACGATGAAATTCGAAGAAAATGGGTATCCTAAACGACAAAAAAAAACAATATATATATATATACATACGTTCACGTGATTTATTTTGTCGTTGTTACGTGACACGGAATCATTCATGATTCTCGCCGAGGTAAGTATATAACTGGGAGGAAACACAACGAAGTGAGATAGATGTGGTGAGGCCAACTAGCATTAGGCATGGTGAGGGGCAGGCCACGCAGTGTGCCGCTTTGTGAAACCATCAAGTATCATGAAACACTACAGAGACGCCATTCCGTTTGGTCAGAGCGACAACCGCGTGCAGGACGAGGGTCATTAGAGAAGTACTGAAGTGCTGCTGGTTAACTGTACACAGTCGTGGTAAGGAGAAGTCGTTCTTACCGCAATAAGGACATGGGCAATAACGTTGAGAGCAGGACCAGTTGGTGACCGATCTTCACACCGCACACATACGGGCAAGTGGCACACTTATGACAGAACCGAAAGAAGACGACGATCGCTGCACTCACAAGCCGAATTGGTTTTACAAAAAAACACTTCATATGTGTGCACCCACGAGCGACACAGAAATTAGTTAGCGGTCAAGGGATTGTTATAAAAACAAAATCAACTTTTACTCACGCTCGAGTGAGGCGAAGAACCATGACATGTGTACCCACCTCCCTTCAGCCCATCGCCCTTCCGTAAAAAGCAATGTCAAAGAGCACCCTATACTCGACCGTTCCTCTTTCACCTGACGCAGAGCACCGAACCTCGAGCGAAAATGACGTCTCGTTTCTCCAAAATTGGCAACGATTATCGCTAATATGTTGCGAATACAGCCCGAGTCCTTCAATGCTTTTCTTGTCCCGAAACTCCGCATGTAGTTTGATACAGGGACAGAAGCTGTCGTTAGGGTCGCCGTGGTCAACGAGGAGGCATCAGCGCACGCGCGCCACCCTTTGCTGAATCTTGTGCCAATTCGAGGCGATTGGTTCATTTTGCAGGGAACCACCATTATCCAACTACCATTTATACTTCACCTGACATGCAGTGTGGTTGTTGGATACGCGTGGGCAAGACTTTAATCTCTGCCACCGCTGTCCATGGACGGCGCTGCCTGCGACGTTTTTCCGTTTCTTTTTATTTCCAGGCTGTTAAGAAGAGGCAGACGTTTCATAAACGAAAAGACACCACATTATCATAATCGCCATGCTTATCACCATATTAGAGTTGATGGCCATCAACTTATTCTCGAATACGTATATCAGAACTAGTCAGTATTGGCTAGTTCGTTCTTAAGCTTGGCAACGCGCGTTGCCGCCATACTCCGGCATGGTTAAGTGGTTAGGATACCTGGCTCTCACCCAGGAGGCCCCGAGTTCGATTCCCGGTGTCGGAAACAAGCTTTCAAGAATTTACCTTTTTAAGATTTTTTTTTGAAATTTTATTTTAGGCGCATATCGCGTATCATTCACTCCAGTTCGCGTCCTACCTAAGTCGGCCATATTATATGGGCAAGAAGGCACACTCCACCATCATATTCCCTTGCCAGCTTGTTCGTTTAAGGTTGTTTATTTTTCTTTCATACAACGCGGATCTTTAACCGAATTTTCGTTTTAAATGTCTTCTCTTTCATAGAACGCGGCGTGAATCAACGTGTACTAGCACATTCGGTACCCCGCGCTTCCAATCGCCCTACGCAGGCCACCTTCGTATGGTCAGGTGGACTTTAATAGTTGAAAGCCTACCGCTCCCTCTCAGGGTCCGCTCCCATATGACGACCAAGAGGATGGGGAGGCTTTTTTTCTCTCTTTCTTAGTTGTACAGGGCTTTGTTGTCTAGTAAGAGGGTTGGGACGCGGGAGGTAGGGGGCGCCACGCACCATGCGAAGGGTCACGTGAGCGACGGAGCGTCGAAAACCGAACATCTGGACGCTTTCGCCGACTGCCCTGCTCCCAATCGCCGCCGGGGGCAACAGCAGGCAGTCCCCTGGGCCAGCTGATGGTCGCTACACGACACGCGTATAAGTGACACAAAAGCCCCGCCCATCCAAGGGTGCGAGTGGCTGACCCTCATGCGCCAACAGCACCGGCCGCTTAACCTCCGGCCTTACGAAATACAGCACTCTTTTTCAAGGCCCAGAACAATAGTATTAAGAATACTTTCGAGTTTAGGACTCACTAGGTGAATGAATCTTAGCTGTTCGGTCTTTCTGTATGTGTCACTCCGTATCGTTCTTTGTAAATTATATATACTGTCGCAGATTGAAGTGCGTCTCCACAGTTAGCTTGCTATGAATGGTATTTATTTTTCACTTTAACAACGCATTATCATCGACGGTGCTTGCCTCAACTAATTGCGCTCCGCTGACGCGTTGACATACATACATACATACATACATACATACATACATACATACATACATACATACATACATACATACATACATACATACATACATACATACATACATACATACATACATACATACATACATACATACATACATACATACATACATACATACATACATACATACACCCATCTTGTCTAATTAAATCCTCATCACGATTTACTATAACGAATGCTATAATGACTTCCACGTAACCGGTGTAGCAAACGTTTTCTTTTTTCATTTGGAATACTGAGAGATTATTTTAGGTTATATACGCGAATTCCAAATCCCATCGTTCTAAAGTACCGCGTCTGCCAGAACCAGTGAATGCGAAATGTAATATTTAGTTTTTATTTAACAATGTATTTATGTAACAATTAACATTCTTAACAGGTATTTTACTGCAATACCAGGGAATTGATGATTTCGAGAGATTTCAGGAAATGCTATGAAATATAGAATGTATTTGCTAGCTCACCTCTTCTCTTTCGACAAGGGTCGCCACCCGGCCAATCTGAAATATAAGAGAAAGAAAAAAAAAACGGTTGAAGTTACCCGAAAGTGAGCATGCTAACAATATAGAAGGACTGCAGCTCCTATGAGTACAGACTATTGATTTAGATGAACGATTGCGTACCGATTCGCGCAAACAGCGAAGGCTGAGGTCATGATGATGCTGCGGTGTCGAGTTTACATCCCTCGTAGGCAGCTATTATTTCCAGATAAGCGCTCATCGTAAGTTATATGTGACTGGCCAAGTGTGTGTGTTTATGTACGTGTGTATACAACGCTTCTACTGCCTTAACTCAGAATACTTTTTCTTTGTGTCTTAAACTCTGGGCTCTTACTAGGACAACAAGCGGCGTTTGCTAGTGGGCTAAAAGAACCTGCCATCAAGGACCTGTCCGAGCTTTCGTGGTGCGATTCGGATGGCCGACATGTCAGTCCTTGGAATCTGCCCAGTGATGGCCTTCCTATTTACGGTCTTAATGACATCAGAATAGACAGAAGGGTGAAATACGTGTAAAGGTGGTGATACAAACAGAGATTTCGCAACACTGGGACGTGGTTTCATAGCGCATAACATCGGATACTTGAGAATCACAGTTGAACTGCGGCATTGTTGATAATTAGCAAATATGTCGTTCGGGCATAAAAAATTATGGCGACTCTCTTTACGAATACCATTCAGAACCCAGGTCATTGAACTAAGTGCAGATAACGCACTATTCCGTATTGGGAGATTCAGTGTGTGTTATAACCCGAAAGAGTTTTGTGCCGGGGTCCCCCTAATACTTAGTGACTGCATAAGCGACAACTTAGGTAAACGACCAAGACGTGTGCCGTGTGTGATGGCAACCTCTTTACAGAGGTGTCCTTCTTGTCTCTGTGTCGTCCCTTTGTTCTCGCGCTATAACTATCGTCATTCCATACCAACTAGCCCAAGCTGCCACACTTCTAAGTTGCCATCACACCCGACACATCGCTTGCGTTCCTCTTCGATGGAGTTGTATTCCTCCAGAAGTATACACTTCGCGTATATTTCATCAGCGATGGAGCCAATGTGCTCTGTAGGACGAAGGGAATCTTTCAGCAACCATTTTAAACGTCGGCGGTTACCCAAGTTTCCTCTCTGTGGACCACCCTCTAGAGCAAGCTTAACGTATACCATTGAAATAGGCGTACTTTTCGATTTCTGAATAATATTCGAACGTATGATACAAGGAGTACGCAAGCCAGGTTCCGAAGACCCTGTTTGTATCATCTATTCCTTGCCTAATTTTTAGGCTTTTCTACCAAGCGACGACTTTCGCAGCAGCTCAGGGACCAAAAACTTGGTCTTCCATTGTGTAGTCCTGTGGGGCGGTTGAATAGACGTCCGTGTTCTACAACAGGGTACATCGACACGCCTTGGTGTAGTTAAGGAAGGAGGCACAAGGTCGGGGCGACCAGAGGAGAGCTGGAGGCTGCTGGCCTGGGAGAGATGTATGAAGATTCCGTGACGCCGGAATCGTCGTAAATAAGGATATCCCTACAGGACGGGGCCACCGGTATCCCACCCCCTAAACTGCCTTCCTAGGCGTAGCAGTGATCAGGTTGAGAAGCAGGCATCATCGTCTCTCCGGCATCATCATTATGTCATAGCACTCGGTAGGCCATTCGTTCTCGAATATCGCCGGGGTCGTGCCTTACTGGTATGCGGCAGCCACTGTTTCTGCGCCGCTGGGCCGTACACGCGTCGCCTATTGTTTGCTACGATGCACGAAAAACGTATCGGGCCTCCGAGAGTAGGGACCACCGCATGCGGCACGGAAGCTGCATTCCAAGACGGGTCACGGTAATACGTACAGATAAAAAGGTCGAACTTGGGACAGGTTCAAAGCATGCGCGTTTTCGACAGTTTTTGTCTTGTTATTTCTTGACTATCACTCATGCTGCGCATAATGGACAAAAGTGCCCGGGACAGCAGATTCTGTATGTTTCTGTTCATGAAGCCACACGCGGGATCAAACTTGAAATCACAATTTTCATTGGTTAGGTATAAGTCCTCGAGACTTATAGCACTGGAAAGTGCCACATAGACGAGCCTCAGGGTGTGGCTGTTGTATTTTCATACACCATAGATAGTTGTACGTGGCCCCTTGGGAATTGTGGATAGAATTCGCTTGTGCGAAGGGAAACTGTGCCCATATGCAGGAGATGCCTTGTCCTAAGTATAATGTGGTGGTGGTGTTTCGATGTCCCATGGGCACCCATTGAGGTCTAACGGATGTATTTGCAACAGCAATGTGCCTCGTCGTAGCTCAAGCGACAGTGCCAGCTGTAGATGTTTGCAACTCGAGCCACACACACACAAGGCATGCGTGTTCGTCATTCTGGATGTACCGCAAGGTGCCCATGTTGTCATTACTGAGGTCATCGGTGAGGTCGATTTTGGTCGGGATTGTGAAGGGCTTGTCGACTCTCAGATTAACTGAGACCGGCAGGCCAACCATGTCGCTTGCGTTCAAGAGTTTGCCTGTTCGTTGTAGGTAGTTATGAGGCTGAATGCAGGGCGACATAAGTGCTACAAGCAATGGTGAACTTATGCCAAAGCTGTGATACCCGGCAAGTGACACCACATACCCGCATACCAGTGGCACATACTCGGGCGCGGGTATGTGCCATACATGCCACGGCCGATATGCTGCCCTCATGGTTAGCTTATTGAGCGTCCTTACCACTGACTCTCTTTACAGCGCGACCGTACAAATCAATTGCTCGTGAAAAAAAGGCCCACCATCTATGCGAGGGATTAAAGCTGATTACTTGGGCTCACAAGGTAACTCTGTAGAAGAAACAGTGAAAATCAGGAAGAAAGTGAGACTTCAAGAACCGAGTGCAAATTATGGCAGCGCAGTTTAAAGCTGTTGTCAGCGGGACCTTCAGGAAGAAAAGGCGAGTTGGATTTTAAAAAAGAAAGAGTTCATAGAAACAAGCAGATAGTTTTGTTAGTAAATGAGATAAAAACCTAAATGTAGCAAAGTAATAAAACAAAGCAAGTACGAAGGAACATAGAGGCGTGAAGAATTTGTTGATGACCTCTCGTGCCAATGTTACCACTCTGGCATACAACTCGTTACAATTCAGACCGCCTGAAGCAGACTAGCAGCCATTTCTAGAAGCACTTATAGCTCCTGGAAATCTGACTTCACGCCCACTATCCTAGTAAAATCCACACTGAGGTGCTTTTTGGCGCATGAATGCGAGATACCTGAACGGATGACTAAAGATACACTGCCACCAGAGAGGAAGATATTTATATGGACCCATCGCTTTCACACCTTTTTAGTTCGCCGTTTGTCTTGCCATCTGTAGCGTAGCAAATCAGACTAATAATTTTGTCTTTACTGTTCTTTCGAAGTAGCACCTTCTCGAAAAAAAATCATAATGGTGGAGCGATATAATGAACGCCTATGTTTTGCTGTATAGGCGTCAGAGAGGCGTTTTGCTCGCACAACGTCCTAAGCTCGAGCACTGTCCTGAACCTTCACGACAGGCCAGACGTGAACGTGGTACGTCTTTCATTTACAGGACTGCCGAAAACCCCGTACTTTTCATGAAGAAGAAAAGGTTTATGTTTATCTCGCGAAAATCACAGTTAGCTTACACTATAGAACTATTCGCGGGGCTACAGCACCCTCCGTTACGGTTTGTACACATTCAAGGCCTTTACCGTCCAGATACTAATGTCCTTCGCAAAGCTGGCTGATGGAGTAAGATTTGGGAATTGTTAATGCACGTTCAGCATGTGGTAATGATGATGATAGCGTGGTTCTTAAGAGACTCGTAGTGAATCTTTACCGAACAGAAAACCTGTGTAGAGCTGGCACAGGCAGCAAAAACGAACACTCATCAATCTATACAATACGTGTAACACTACTCACGAGTAAGGAGGTACGCCTAGCCACTCGAAGCTACTGTGAAGGGCTGAAGATGAATCGACGCCATTAATTGGCGCCTGGACTGGTCGCTTAGCTTACGCAGAGAATTACACACACAAACAAACAAACACACACACACACACTCACACATAAAGAGAGAGAAGTCATGAAGGAAAGAACTCTAAGCAGAGAGATACTGTAGCACTGTTCACTGAAGAGGAGAGTCATCGTTCTGTTTAGACCACAGGATCCAATTAGAGAGACAGAACGTCCATCCACTCCCACGTGCCTTCAGAGTTCCTGCCATCACCGATCCATCATTGCAACCTGTTGTCGAAAGCCGCCTCAAGCTGCCCAGACTGTGTAACTTATCTTTCTTTTTCCTTCGTTCTTTCGGTAGGGGGAGAAGGAAGAAAGGAGTTTCGAGGCATAACCATGAACGAGAAGACTATCGTCGAGTTGCAGACACTGTTGACAATGTGTGTCTCCGTGTCAATAACTGTTCACATGAACCGAAAGACACACCCAATGCGCAAAAGTCATGGGTGGTGTTATTTCTGGCGTGGATCCAGCCCCGACATTTCAGCACGCGGAGACACGCATTTCACCACTCGTGTGGGCGTCAGAGAATAAAAAGCGTCAATCGACAGGTTCAAGTCCGCCTATGTACAGACGTACGCAAATTATACCTTCTTTCCTCTGTCCACTCTTTATCCTTCAATCGTCAAGATGTCACCCACAACAAACTAAAAAAGCATGTCCACCAGTCTGACCAAGCCATGTCACGTGCTGACGTGCCGGGCCAGCGACAACGATGAGGTCAGTGTATTTGATTCGCAAGACTTTACTTAAACCACATGAGAGACAAGGGAGCGGCAAGGGTGGGTCCCTTGTCCAGGAGTATACAGTGGCCGTTGCTGCACACTCAGCCTGATTCAAGATACCCTTTCTGGGTCTCTGAGTCGTACGATCGGAGAGTTTACGTTTTATGGCCTGGACATGCAGAGGCCGGGGAAGTGCGAGAGCTTGGACATCGAAATAAATCAGTTGGTAGCGCTTGCAGCATTCTCTGCCTCTCCGCTGCATAGTC